GCCTCCTTGTGTCCTCAGCAGTCGGACCGTAGCGCTGCTCTGGGTTACATCACAGATCGATGCTGCGCTCGGCGGCTCATGTGGGACTTTAAAGCCGGTTTTATTCTGACGTCTGCAGCAGAACACAAGCGTCTAATAATAAGAGGAGTGCTGCGGGTCATGGGCTTGTTGTGTGCTGCTGTCGCCTCTGGAGTGTGTCGGTGTGCGATGTGGACGCTGGTATTTATAGCGTTGGAGGTGGAAGGCCGAGCCGATGTTCTGCTGCCTCGGGCCTCCACCATTGATTTCCCTTCTCGCTACCGAGAGCAGCTATAAATATCTGCTGCTCCTGGAAACACTCATGACACGAAACACACGAAGCACAATAATCTGACGGCAGGATCCTCCACCAGCTCTCTGCTCGGCTTCAGAACCCCGGTTTGGAGGATCTGGAATGTGTTCTTCTTCAGTGACTCCTCGGCAGGGTTCTCCAGTTTCCGCCTGGTGGATCTCCAGGGGCTTCCAGGTCAGATGAGATGTTTAATCCTTGCAGACTTCTGGCTTCCTCTCGGCTGCCTGGAAAACCTCCAGGAGCATCTCAATCTCATGTTGGACCACCTCAGCTGGTTTCTTTCTGAATCGACTCAGATGATCTCTGAAGTTANTACATGTTGATGGTAGGGTTATGGTTAGTTAGGATCTCCTGAACCTGGTGAAAGACACACTTTCCATTCACTCAGCAGGATGGACGGCAGCTGTCAGGGCATTAAAGTCACACAAACCCCACCAGAAAAGTGTCTATTTGTGTCCCTGCTGCCCCCTGATGATGAGATCCTGCTGCTCTGCCTTTTATTCTATGATGACGTAAAACGAAGGCTGTCAGCAGCGTTTTCTCCAAACTGGGACGTTTCTAATGAGCTCTCTGCATCTATGTGTCTGTAAATGTTCACACTGGGGCACATGACGGAGACGCAAAGCAAATAAACGTCTTTAAATCTGCTTAGAAATGACTCAAAAGGAGAGTTAATGAGCTTCACATGTCTGGGTTCAATCAAACTGTCTCTTCATTCAGTCTCAGTTCAACAATCTGACAAAATGTGAAAAACCGACAGAGAGAAGCATCTTTGAAGGCTCCACATCCATCGGCTGGAATGAAGGTTCTAGACTGGTCTCCCCAAAGTCCTGACTGGAACCATCCAGAACCTGTGGACTGATGAAGGAACAAGTCTGAGTCAGAAAGACGACGAGTTTAGTTGAACTGCAGCGGTTCTGTCCAGAGGAGTCAGAGATGGACCAGAAGCTGGTGGATGGAACCAGAAGAACCCGACTGAGGAGAACATGGACGTTGAACCAGATATGAACATTTCTGTATGTTTATTCATGATCCAGCAGGTTTTGTCATGTTTCCAGAAGAACTTTAATAAATCTGTGAAAGAACCAGAACACAGGATTGTTCTAGTGACAAAGATTCATGTTTCATTGGTTCCATCAGAGAAGATCCAGAGTTATGGAGTCACTGGAGATGAACATGATCTTTACCAGTAGATAAAACCTTTAGTTCACGACTGTATGTGACAACATCCACAGCAAACTACAAACTGCTCCTCCAGCGGTTCAGCCTGCAGCTACGACAACTAGATGTGAGGTGTTCCTCTGATGTGCTCCTCATGTCTTCATACGTGACCAGAGGTTTCACACCTTTGGTTCGTACGCCCAGCAGCGACGTTACACAACCTGTGGAGCTCCTTCTCTGAACTCAACCTGCAGACGCTTCAGCAGCTCGGCCGGGACCACGTTAAAGCCTCGACCCAAACAGAACCGCTGCAGCTGCAGGTCTTCTGCAGGCAGGCGGTGAGCGTTGGAGGCAGCAGGAGGCCCGGCTGAGCTCATCCCGCCTCATTCAGGCCGCTCCGGTTACATAAAGCTTCACTTCCACCTCGTGTTGCTCACGCTGGGATTACAGCAGCTCTCTGTGTTTACTGAGAAATATTAAAAAGTGACCCACAAAACAACAGAACCACCTGCTCAGAGCGGGTCAGCCTTCTGGAGGAGGAGGTTTAAGATCAACGACTGGTTCTGATCATTTAACCCACTGGTGTCTGCATGAGGTCCGTTCAGACAGGCTCAGTCCAGAAAGGTTAAAGCATCATCTAGGTTCTGGTTCTGTTTCAGCTCTTTAACACGACGGGTCGGTTCAGCTGAGACACAAAGTAAGAAAAACGAACTGCAATGAGACGATTAAAATCCAAAAACACCACAAGATGAAACAAGAACCAAACAGACCAGAACCAGACCAGCCTATCCCACTCAGGGTGAAG